GGATTTGGCTTGGTAACATTGGTGTGAACTGGTTCTTTTGAAGTGCTTTTATGTTATGATATTGTGAAAAAACACCCCTGATGTTATGTAGCATAATATGGAATTTGTCTTAGAAAAAAAAACAGAATGTGGAATTTAATCGAGATGGAGCTTGGTGGTTGCGATTCTTTTTTTTTTTGGTTTAAAAAATATCAGATAAAAATATTTTTGATAAAAACTAATGTTTACCAAATTCTTCATTCCTTTTTCATTTGTTCACCATCCTAAGCATATTTTAGATATAGTAAAAAAATAATTGGTGAATTCTACTCATTTTTTGGAAACACGGTGAGTTCTACTCATTAAGTTCAATTTATTATTCAGATCTTGAGAAAACTGATGTAATATATAAAATTAAATATAAGAATATTTGTATAAATTATCTGGACGTAGCCCGGGCAAAGTTTCTAATAACGACTAAAAGAAAAAAAAAAATCTTACCACATATTGTTAGTTACAATTCCTATGTAATCTATACATTTTTTTTATAAACTTAGTTTTATATTTACTTCTAACCATTTCTTAAGGAGAAAACAGCCAAATTCAAAAAAGCAAAAATAATCCTTAACTAACACATAAAGCCAAATTAACCTTCAATTTTCATTTAATCCATTTTAATCTTTAACTTTATAAACTGTCTATTTTAAATCTCAACTTTTGTTGATTAAGTCATTTTAGATACCTGCAAAGTTAATGTTAAATTAATTTAAGAATTGATCTTTTGTGTATCTGAAATGGCTTGGTCATCAAAAGTTAAATTTAAAATGGACAAATTTTAAAAGTTCGAGCGTATAAAAGCTTACACGAAAGTTTATGTTTTTGTTCGTTTTGAAAGATTTGAATTTTAAAGATTTTCTCTCTTTGCAAATGAAAAATCTAATTGTTTTTTTCGTTGTTACCCATTCAATATCAGATCTTGGATCCATTATTATAATAATATTAACTACAAACATTGGTTTTGAAGTGTGTGAATGTACTCACATGTAATGAGACATCAACAAAGTTTAAAGGCATAAAACTCTCTTAGTATAGCCAAATATATTGTCATCTAATTAGCAACACATATGTTATCGAGACGAAACAATGTTGATATACCAAGACTGTTGGTCCAGCAAAAGGCCATTATTTGCAATTTATAAGCATATAGTTATAATCTTGAATTTAGATTTTGAAATGATTTTGACATTTGGTTTTCCAGGGAAAACTTTCATCTTAGATAATGAAATGTAATCGGTTTCTTAACTCATTTAGTTCTTCTTACCTATAACTTTTTCTTAGCCATTATAAACGAAGCAAAAACGTGAATTGTAAGATTAGAAAATGTAATCAATTTAACTTAGGCGTTTTCTTAAAGAAGAAATTAAGTAAAAAGTGATTATATTTTTCCCGCTCTGAAAGAATAAAAAATCTGTTAAAAAGTAAGATCTATAAAAAAGTATGAAATTCCATTCAACCCATTTAATTCTCCAAATTTTTAATCTCCATAAAATTATAGCAAATCTTTTAGTTTGATGAAACATAACAAGACATCAACCTCTTTAAAAGAAAAGGCATAAGCATTACCAAAGCTGCATTTAGAAAGATTAATAGTTTCAAGTTTCAAATTTCGCATTCAAGACCCTAAAATTGTATTGACTAAGCGTTCTTCATGCTTTATCACCACATCAAAGGCAAGTGGAAATTAAAGAATCTCAAGACATAGGGCCAGATCGTGGGTGATTCAATTATTTTTGAGTAGTATATATGTGAAACTATCTTTAAAGAGTTATAATTTTGTATATATTTTTTTGATATATTAGCTTCAAAATATGAAAAACTATTGGAAAATAATTTATAAGATGCGAACAGCTTATAAGAAAAAATAAAAAGAGGCTACTTTGTGAATATGAAATCTTGAGCTTGAGAAAATTTTGGCGAGAAGAAGACATGTAACTAGGTCAAGTTGTTTTGTTACCCTGATTTTTGTAAAATTAAGAAAAAAAAATTTGTAAGGAAAAATTAATTTTAATAGTTAACTAATACAGTAACAAATCATTTTTTTTTCGTCCATATCTTGCTATTGTGCTTACTAATAACACAATATAAAGTCTTATTAGTTATGCCACGTTGTTTAATTAAATTGACCAATTAAAAACTTCTATTTTGCCACATCATTTTTGTTAATCGAGATAGATTGGCGCATTTTTAACGAGCCTGAGCTCAAGTATTTTCAACAATTTGCAACGAATTGAAAATGTGTATACCATTTCTATTTTGAGATGTTGGTTTTATCTAACTCGCACTCCCGTATCTTTGAACTTAAAATCCAATTGTTTGAGATTACCGGTTTAGATCATTTTTAACCAAGACACCAAAACAACATAGTTGATGTAATTTTATCTTTAGAAGCATAACAAAGTGACATTATTTCACAAAATTTGATATAGCGCGAACAATTTTATACCAATTTGGTTTTTTCCAATTATTTTTTTCTTTGAACTGAAAAATCCAATTGTTTGGTATTACTGGTTTAGATCATTTTTAACCATGACACCAGAACAACATAGTAGATATAATTTTATCTCTAGAAGCATAACAAAATGACATTATTTCACAAAAAATGGTATAGTGTGAACAATGTTATACCAATTTTGTGTAATATTACTTATCATATCAAATATTAAAATAATGTATTTTATTACGTTTTATTTAGTTAAAGATAAATTAGTTTTATTAATTAGTTTTAACTTATAGTTATACCATATGTTTTATTTGTATTTTTACATTACTAAAACATTAAAATTTTATTGTGCTTATATTTTTAATTAATCATATAACTAAATAAGTATTACCAGTAACATTAAACTGTAACATAATAGAAATATTTTTCCTTTTAAAATGTAAAGTTTTTTAAAATTGAATAATATTAAAAATAAATAAATATATATAAATTTAATAAAAAATCATATTTATATATATATATATATAAATAAACATAAAACACCAAATTTTAATAATTAAATATAAAAAATCAGTTAAAAATAATTAATGTAAAAAATTACCAAAATTAAACAGTTATTAAATATAAAAAATGTTTTGGTGTAAAGTTTAGTGTAATGGCTGGAGATGAAAAATAAAGTTTAACACCAAATTTCATGTCAAGGTGGGAAATACTCCCAGTAATGTTGTGTTATCTTATTTTTATGGATTATGGCACTTTTTATTTTTGCCTTCTGCAAAATAGTTTTGTTTAGTTAGAAAGAGATTTTGATTGAAAATTTGTATTACTGAAGACACCATTAAGTTTATATTTTACATTTAGCATCTAGACAAAAAAAAATTATGTTTTATCATTTTCAATAACCTTTCACACTAAATTATATGTTTAAAGATATGGTCTCTAATCAACTATAAAATATTATAATAACACTGCTTTCACAATTACATACAGAGAGATACTCTTAGAAACAAAAATAAAATGATGACTGCACATTTCTAAAACAAAATTTGGAGGTACAATATTATTTATATGTCATATTAATTCAACATAACTTAATAGATAATTTCATATAATTAATAATATATTAATTGTGTGAACAACTTCTAGAATATTTTTTTAAACATTCTAAGAGAAACGTAGCAAACGATAATAAATAAAATAAAAGCAATATAAACAGAATAAAAAATATGTTTATGAAATATAATATTATATTTTTACGATAATTTATGTTATTTATTATCAAATTTTGTTTACTTAATTAAATATTGCACTATCAAACATATTCAAAAAGGATTCAGTTTTAAACCAACATTCAATAATATTTTAAATTCATGATTTAAGTTTACAATAGTGTTAATAATTTTTTTTCTTATACACTTATTTTATAATACAATTTCGATACTTACTCAAACAACACAATAATTCCACATTTACTATTCAACTATTTAAAAAAATATTATGTCAAATGCAATAATTCATAAACATATAAAATTGATAATTTTCAAAACATGTTATCCGCGCGTAGCGCGGAAATACGATCTAGTTAGAGTAATATTTAGTATTCAGAGGATGTGGGTAGAATTATAACTATATACTATTTCGTCCATATGGAATAGAACACTGACAATGTTAGCTGGTTTTTAGATTGCAACTACGTTCACAATGTTTTCATGCTATCTACTGGACATGGAATGAAAATAAATATTTTCTTATCTCAGTTATGTATTGTACAGTTTACTTTCATTTGATATATCTTAACCCTTAATACTAGTATACTAGTATTTTACAATTTCAGATTTTTGATATTTGGATTTGGGTTCATAATTCCATGATTGAGTTTATATTTAATTGATAAAGTTTAGTTTAGTGACGCCGGAGGTTGTCATTTGAAAATCATTGAATACTTACAATACATATATTTTGGTATGTAATATGTGAACTATGCTATTTATCTATATGGAATAACAATTTTAATAAAGTCAAATATCTATTACGTTCATTTATATTCTATTACACAAATAAATATTATTCATTAATATCGATGCATACTCTTTCAGCATATGTGTTAAATACAGCTGATGTACGCTTTCCCTTTCAGAACAGTTCTTTGATTGTTAATAAGCCACAAGAAATAACCACGTCATTTACTTTAGACAATGCAACTGGAAACTTGTTGTTGAAAGGGGTATAACCGGCTAGATTGAGTGCAAAAAATCTGACATTTAATTATGTCAACATCATAGCTACTCACTTAATTTAACATTCATATATGGCTATCTAGCCAATAACCCCTTTAAAGATACAAAATTACAACAACAAAAGAAAAAAAAAAACTAAACTATTAGTGTGCTGATTGGCCAAAATGTGTATTTTGTGTAACTCTATGATCTCATTCATTTTCTTGTTAATTAAATGTTATTTTTGGAAACTTTATGATCTGATGCTATTTTTAGGATAAACTTTCAAATACTATTTTGGAGATTTGCCATTTACAAAATGATTCACACTTTTCTCACTATATTCCGAGTGAAATGCTGATCGTGGGACATAAAGCTAGGAGAGACATTTGTCGTGTATCCCTAGCTGACAGAGATGCCGTGCTTCTTAGTGTTGTTGATTTCTACTTGTGTAGCTAGCTGTATGTGAATATACTCGCGTGGGTTCGATTAGATCGAGTGGAAATCAGAGTTGTTGTCTGAAAAGACACATGTTTTCAGATCCTCTCAAAATGTAAAAGAGACAAGAGATGAACCAATGTTATCATATCAATGTTGTTGGAAATATCCAAGTCAAGCAAGAACTGCGTCTGAACGGTGGAGAATTTAACTGCAGATCACTGAAACATCTAACCATGAAAAAGAAGCTGACTTGTTTTTGGAACATTGTCACCATCTTCGGTTTACCTATTTCGGTACGCTAAAACAAAAGTTGGAGACACAAGAACGGAGTTCATAGAATAGGATCCAAAACATTACAACACATGGTACATTAGAAAATATTTGAGAGGATCCCACTGATGTGTATGTTAGGGACTGTTCAGGAAGAAGAAGAAGAAGAAGAAGAGCTAGGCATTGAACTTACCTTCTCCAGAAGCTCTGTGACATCGCTTTTCAGTTTTGCCTTGGTGTCTCTTGATAAACGATCCCCAGATTTCTCCAGCATCGCAGTCATCTTCAACAGATTCTGCTTCATCGAATCCACACTCGTCGGTATATTGTTCAGTTTCGGTGATGGACTAACTTGAGAGATTACAGGCATTCGTGGGGCTATGTTCCTTTGAACGCTAATCAGTTTCTGTTGTAAACTGAAACTCACTAAAGTCTCACCAAACGGGTTAGCTTTCTCTAGGCTTTTAACTGCTTCTATTGCGTCGTCACTACTCACAAAGGCGACTTGTGCACCACTAAGTTCTTCAGAAACGTGTGTTTCTGAAGCATCCAAAGGACCAAACGCGGAGAACGTTGACGTTAGGTCGTCCCTTGAAGGCATTGACACTCTTGAGGAAAATTTGAACAAGAGAATTGTAATTCCTCTGGTTAATCCGTTAGACAACTCCTCTTTCTTCCGACGTCTTTTAGTAGGCTCAGCTTGAGGCTGGACCGAAGCTGGATCTGTAGCTATTCCATTTAAGTCAGGTATAGCATTAGTGGTATGTGCAACTAGTGGAAGCTCTTGTGCAATCTTCCTCTTCCTTCCTCTCTTTTTCTTCTCTAAACTAGTGACATTAGTGAAAAGGTCTGAACTCGTGAAGTTTCTCTCCGAAGCTGGTTGGCTGGAAGCAAATCCCGTTCCCGAGATTCCGTAGTTTGTGCACTGAGCTGTCTCCTGAAAGTTTAACATGATAGTTCTTGGTGTCTCCTCCTTTTGTGGGAGAACCTTGGGAGGAATTAAAGTCTCCCGTTTCTGTAAATGGTCAAACTCTGCAGAGGCTAAAGGATTGTCTCCGCTGTTTAAGTCCAGTACAAATGTAGCAGCAGGTCTGCTTGGTGTGTCTACCATACAAGCTTTCCCGTGTAGAGATTGTACTGATGATTGTTTCTCATTTGCAACAGAAGCAGATAAATCTGAGTGACCAATGGTATGTTTGGTCTTTTTCAGCGCTGATTTCTTCGGCTTAGAGGACTTCTGCTCGTTATCTGGAGTTGAAACAACATTAAGAGTCTCGATATGTGATTCCTCTGACTCAGAGGTGTTCTGCGCAGTATCAGCGACTGAGACACCACTGGAAGGCTCAATCATTGACTTCCCTAGTTTCTTTGACTTGGAGGTTTTCTGCTCAGTACCTGGATTTGCATCTTTAGCTACCATCAAACCTTTCAAACCAGCCAGCTGCATCTTGTAAGCCTTTTCATCATGAAACACAGAAATTCTGAACTTGGAGAAGAACCACTCAAAGAGACCCATATTCTCAGTTTCTTCTGAACACTTGTTGTGATCCACAGCAAGTAGCTTCAGTTTAGATACCAAATCAGAAGGAGACGTGTTTGCCAGATGGTCTCTTGCAGACGCATTGTCAACATCACTGACAAATTTCCTAAACCATTCTCTCCGAAACCTCCTCCTGCTACTACCTGCAACAACAGATGGAGAACCAACGAACTCACAGTCTTTCATCTTAGCTGCACTAAAACTTGTCCTAACCTCGCCGTGTAGTTGATCCATTGGTATCTGCTTGTGGCCACAGAAAGAATAAAAAGCAGATAACCTACTCTGCATAACAGTCAGCTCAAGTATCCCACCACTCGAAACACATTCCGCTAGATTCTTCAGCTGAGCGACAAACTCTCTTGGCTCCATTCCATCTACAGAGAATTCACGCAGTATCAAAGGCAAAGGCAAAGGCGGCTTTGGCATTATTACTCCGTTCCTCCTTTCAGCAATGCAAGAACAAGTCATCTCAAGCTTCAACGAGTTGCCCAACAAGGTCATAGCTTTCTCCACGGCAACAAAAAAGCTTACTTCCTCTCTTTGATTCACTATCTCCTCAAAGCTCTCCTTGAAAGGCTTCAACATGGAAGGTGCGCACCAAGTGACAGGCTGGCTCTGACCACCAAGATATCTAACCATGCAACTCTCCTTAGCATCAGCTTTGAAACCAACAACTTCCCCTGGCCACCATTTCTTGGATTTATTCACGGCCCATACAAGATTCCCAACCAGACAACTCCCATTAGATTCAAAGACATTGTCAGAAGAACTACTCCCAGTTAAAGAGCCGCTAAAATCAACAATAAGTGATATGTTTCCCCCAGAGACATCAATCTTCCTCACTTCTTCCATTGATACCTCCGTCACCGGAACTTGAGAAGCCACTGGATTAGATTCTCTTAGGGTTTTTTCTAATTTCTTCATCCCGGTTTCCACCTACAAAAAAAAAAAGAAAGAGAAAGACAATCTATCTGCATCAGGAGCCATATTGCTTACATTTGATCAACGAAAAAAATCCCCAAAACAGAAAAAAAAAAAACTGAAGCATTGATTAAATTCCCAGAATAAAACATCATTGAGAAACTAGCAAAAGAAAAGGATGTAACAAAGATTACCTGCGAGGAAGAACAGAAAATCCAGACTTGGCTTTGTTTTTTTTTTTTTTTTTTTTCTCACGGTAAGGTCGAGCAAATGTGATTCCAATAGAAGCGCAACAGAGCTTGTGCGTGAGTGAGAGTGAGCATTGAGATTGAGACGGAGAGATAGATAGAAAAGTGTACAAACTACTGTACGGTCTTCGGCTTCATCGTAGTCGTCGGTGAGATTCTTTTCTACCTATGATTAGTACTCTTGTCCATCGCAATTCATTTGGACTGAGTCAGAGGATTATTATACACCTTGAAACAGTAAAAATTACCAAAAAGTAAGCGTTTTTATTGGACAAACAAAAAAAAGAAACTTAAGCTATTTTAACCAAAACAACTAGCCCGGACCAGATAAGAACTAGTCGGAACTAATTAGCAATTTAGAACTAAACCAATATCAAAATTCCCAGATATCCAAACTTATATAAATTTTACGGTAATTCATCAAAATTCCATGTCTATTATGTTAGCATGTAAGTCATGTGTGACAGACGATGCGTTAATATATATTTGGAAGACTCAAATAACTTAGTTATTGTCATTTCAATCACTACATATCATTTTTGTCTTTTGACCTCCCTCACACAATATCACACAATATCGCGAATTATTTTTGTGATAGATCGCCCATTTTTTCTCTAGCTCAGATACGCTTAACTGAAGTTTTATTTAAAAGGTAAATGTAATTTGATGAAAAATGTCACCAAATCAATTATATTATGTTTTTCACCATATACCACAAAGTGGATAAACTCTTTGTTACAATTCACTACCTCTCACATAACATAATGTTCTCGTTGCACTTTAGAATCGTTACATATAATAGTGTGACCTCACACATAGCTTCACACTCATCTGTATTTGGTTATGTTACCACTTGTAACATGCACTGCTAATGGGCCTTCCACACCAACTCTCTTAGCCTGTGGTATCTTTGCCGTACAACAAGCAATGCGTTAATTTTTGGAAGGCTCGAATGACTCGTTTACGGTCCATGTAATCACCATATGACTTTTTCATGTGTTTTAACCTCACTCCTGAGATCTCGCGAATCACTTTTTGATGGTTCACTCATCATTTCATTACAACAGCTCAGTCACGCTTAGCGTTTGAATTCTTTTTTGATGTCTGACCAAAACGTTAAGTGTCTATAATGATATCGATAGTCAAAACAGTTATATCAACCCTTTCAACATATACCATACACAACTGGGAATTATAAATATGTATTTCATTGCTTGTTTTAGTTTGGTCGGTTTCTCCAACTACTTTAAACTTAAGTAACATATCAGTCTTTAAATTTTACATAAAAACTGAACCCAATATAAAATCAAAAGGTTATTTAAAATTAATTAATACTATCTTAAGAATTTTCCCTTGTCTAAATTTTTAATTAAAAGTATTTAAATATATTTTACTAAATTTTAAATAAAAGTTTTGAAATAAATAATAATCTATAAGACAATTTCTAAATTAAATATAGTGATCTTATTCAATATACATAGAAAACTAAAATTTCATACAACTATACACATTCATACACATCTTATAATATAAAGTAGGCTTTTCTCTATTTGAGAATGCCATGTCACTAATTCATTTCTTCTCAACATGACATGTGTCATGATTCTTGGTTAATTTTTGACTTTTCGTTTGTTTGTCGGTTCATCTTTAATTAAAGATTTTATGGCAACATTCAATGAATCCCACTTTTTCTACCTATTTACTGCAATATGTGTCCCTAAAAAATATTATATATAGCGTTTCGGTTAATTAAAAGTATCTGAGAAATATCTACATGATTTCTCTCATATGAGAGTGTCATGTCACTAATTCATTTCTTCTGAACATGACATGTGTCATGATTTTGGTTAATTTTTTGACTTTTAGTTCGTTTGTCGATTCATCTTTAATTAATAATTTTTATGACATCATTCAATGAATCTCACTTTTTCTACTATTTACTGCAATATGTGTCCCTAAAAAATATTATATATAGCGTTTTTGTTAATTAAAAGTATCTGAGAAATCTAGCGTCTATTATTTTCACCGAGGTTTCTTAAAAGATACTTATGATTAACCAAAACGTCTTTGGCATCAACTAATGATGAACAAAGTGAATCACAACTGAAAATTAAATAAACCGCCAACTCGGTTGTACGCATGAAAAAACCGAAATGATTTCTAAGATTCATGATAGGAGGCGAGGCACCACGAGTGGTCGACATAACCCATCGATCGAATAAAAAAAATGAATAATGGTTTTACAATGATCTGATCAGATATTTTGTTAACTTAATTGAATAGAATTATTTAATACTAACATTTAAATTAAAACTCAATTCAAAGAAACACTACAAATCAACAATTATTGGTTCTGGATTACTTAGAGTAATAAATCTTATAGTTATGTTCCTGGAAAATAATAATTCTTAAAGTTACAAATACGAAGTAACAAATGCGGGTTTTATATCTCGATCTATTTCATTAATAATCATTCATTTCTTTTGCAAAATATAGTTTCTTCTTAAGTTTTGTATTTATTAACAAAAACAAATTAAATAATGTATTTTCATTAAAACTATATACGACTCCCTCAGTTTCTTATTGTAAATAGTATTAAGAATTTTTTTTGTTTCAACATATAGGTAATTTTTTCACATGTAGGTAACTTTTACATATATTAGATATAATGTGACCAATTAAATAATGTCTATTTTTTAATAACTAAATTTTATTAATTAAATACTATGTTCTAAAAATAACAACTTTTTTAATATTAATCCTTTTATTTTAAACTATTGTAAAATGGAAGAAGTACTATTGTATGTAAACGTTTAGAAAAATCTCAGTGAGAAAAACAAAACTTAGTTTATCGTATTTTGTTAACTTTTAGTAAAACCTTAAAACCTTGAAAATAAGAAAAAAAAATAACAAAACATACCACTTGGGTTTCAATTCAAATTATCACTCTTTTTTTTACCTCTTCCAATAAAATATAAACACTATCATCATACAACTTTAAGTAAGTATTTTTTTGTATTTAATTCGATTAACTTGAAACTTATGAATTTGTGTGGTTCTAAACATATTGTCTTTTGAGAATAAATAATCTCCGAGAGTATTTATATATATTAAACTATTCACACAATACAATTATATTATTTTAATACATCATTTCTTTTTTATAGTTTACCTCTCACAGTTTTGCTAAAGTTTTAGCGTAAAATAGACATAAAAAATAATTGAAAATATCAAATGTTTATTAGAATTTGAAATTCTTTTCAATTACTTATAACATTATAACGTGCTTACCCGCCCATAGGGCAGGTTTTACCTAGTTTATAATATTTTTAACAATCTTAGGTAGTTTCTTGGAGAGGTAGTTCGTCAACGATCACTTGACTTGATTGGTTTGGTGTTTCCGGAGGATATGTCGTCTTCCGGCGCGATTCTCTTTAAGAGTCCTCAATAAATGGGTGTAATGGTCATGACATGTAGAATGCTTTAGATACAGTAAACTCTAGAATAAACAGTTCAACGACGGCATCGTTGGTGCCACAGGTAAGAGTAGGACGGATCCAGATATTCGAGAAATTTGAAATATCCGGATTCGGATCTAGATTCGTAGGATCCGTGATTTTAGTATCCAGATTCGGATTCGTGTCTTTCGGATATCCGAACTCTGGATATCCGTCTAGATATTGTGATATCCTCGGGTATCCGGATTCGGATCCGTAAAATATAATTAAAAATTTTAAAAAGGTCAAAAATTCTAAAAAAATACATAAACTAAATATTTAAACATAATTTATGAATATATATATATATGACATATAATATTATTAATATAAAAGTAGAATATTATTAAACTTATGTTATGTATAAATATTTATATCAGATATAATTAATAATAAAATAAAAATTTAAATATTTTTTAAAATACGGATCCGAATCCGGATATCCGGACTTAAAAAATAAGATATCCGGATCCGGATTCGGTTTGCACGGATCTGAGATTTTACTATCCGGATTTAGATCCGGGCACTCCCGGATATCCTAATTTTGGAGCAGATCCGAAGCTGATCACGGATCGAATCCGGATCCCAGATAAAAGTCCCAGCACTAGCCACATGGAATGTCCCTTGCCTTGATTTATTTTGGTGTGTGTTTAGATTATATGCTCCGGTCTGAGATGGTTTATCCCATTAGCTGGAGGCGCTGTAGTATTCAATACTTGATGGTGGCCATTGTCTCAGTTGCACATAGAAACCGACTAATCTTTCTCATCTAGTTCTGTAGTAGTTATGTCTCAGTCAGATTCATTGCTAACATTTTTTAATTGCTTCGACTATTAATGTTTGCATTCCGCTCCTTTGTTGTTGTCAATAGGTTGTAACTGTATTTGTTTTCTTTTTTTGTTCGTTACTAGTTATCATTACATCTTTTGTCAAAAATGAAAATTTGTTATTAAATTAATATTTTACCCACAAAATATGTATAGATGCATATTAATAATACCTAAAAATAGCATATTTGTTATATGTCAAAAAAATAAAAGCAAAAATCTTAGAGGTGAATTTTTTTCATTTTGTACAAGTCCCAAAATGATAGTTTAAATTTTTAAAGCACATGAAATGTTTTACGCATATTGAGAACGTTAAAACATTTTAACGCCGATATATCATCTATGTCGTAAGAAAGCTAATCTTTACGAGCTAAAATAATGTATGTCAATCCAAACTAGATCTGTATCTAACTAACAGCAAGCTCACTCGTATGTCATGTGAAGTATATAAATTTCTAGTGCTGTCTTAAGACATAGGTGAAAGTGCTTTTGCACCAGGTACTTTTTATCATTTTGTTAAGAAACTAGGACACTGGTTTGTTAAATTACATAGAGTTGCTTACGCAATTAGTCATTTTCTTGTGTTATGTGGACTTCTAATTACATATCAATTATTTGTTTATGTATCTTAAATATCAGCTTGGTTTCCCTACTAACTAAGGTTAATTATTTCTGGTTATTGTAGGGGACGGATTTCATCCTACCCTTAAGACACATCGAATAAAGGTTACATCCCATTACTCGGCCCAAGTAGACGAGGAAGGTTTATGCCCGCAGAACGACTAAGAACTCGGCGCCAAGTACACGTCACCATTCCATACCGAGCAGGCGGATTCGGCTCGTTTAGAGGCCCAC